GATGGGTGTCTTTTCTGCGGACAGGTGCGCGAGCGGAAGGAGAACGCCAGCAGTAAGGAGGAAAGGGACTCCGCTGGGAGTTTGCTGAAGGTTTTCAAGCTTCTTGGCAGACCTGGCAGACCCAGCTGGAAGACCCTCTAAAACCAGATTGTGGCAGACCCGAGGCAGGTGGACAGGGTCTTCCAAATTAACTGCCCATTGATGGGCTCCGGAAGTGAACAACCACTCGAAGGAAGAGCTAAGAATTGAGTATTTGTAGAAAGCTAATGTTGATGTTGATGGAAGAACTGCTACACTACGCACTGGCTAAACGGTGGCCCACAAATAAGATGAAACACGTGACGTCCTTCAATCACTTAGTTCGAGTTCCATTGTGGTTGCGTGGGGGGGGTGTAAAATTGCACCCGCAGACGAAGACGAATTGTGCAGACACTTTCCTGAGAACTTGCAGATACAATGACCTGGAATTTTAATGAGCCGTTCCGAAGTATTAGGGTGCCTTTGCAGTATTTCGAGAGCAGCTGATGTGGGCCCGACTGCGGATGCGCCTTCTACACTCCTGGACAGCAGCAAGGAAACCTATCATGGCACCCGAGCCGTTGTTCTGTGCATTCTTCGAGACGGTCTACGCTCATCGCTTTTCAAAGCCACAACGTCACGGGGAGCTTGGCTGACCGAAGATCTGGAGGGGGGGATTTCACTGGGGGCGTACGCCGCAACCGACGAATTCCCAGGTTACCGCCGTCGAAGTCGAGGTTGTACGCCGAAGCGGACGAATCGGCAGCGGCCAGAGCAGTCCTGGAAGCGATGGCCGAAGGACATGGAGGCCGATGCAGAGCTCAAAGCAGTGCATCTGCAAATGGCCTCGGAGGACTGGGTGGCATTCGTGAAGGACTTCTGCACGGCGATTTGGAGGTGGCGATTCTGAATCACTCCAGGTGTTCTGAAGAAAAGTGCGTCTTTCCAAGAATCCAAGAGACATTAAGCGGCCATCCTAGGCCAATGGCCCTGAACATACGCAAGACATGGTCTTGATCTCCACCTCAGCACCCTAAACAAAAAAAACCGCCTGTATACATACACGGAGAAGCTTTTTAACCGATGAATATAGATATACTACACATTATTTTAAACTCGGGTGCGCGCACGCGCGCGCGCGCCTACAGTTATAGTCTCAGTTTGTTTCAAGAGCATTGGCGGACCCAGTTTTCCCTGGAAAAAAATATGTAAAGAATAAATCTGTCCAGCAAATCTGTTTGCGCAATGTGTCGTCAGTGTCTCTGTGTCCTCAGAGTTCAATGTGTCGTCGGCGAAGGTGTCTTCGGAATGTGTCGTCAGTGTCTCTGTGCCGTCAGGGGTCTTTTCTGTTCTCAGCATGCATGTCGCCAGACCTTGCTGGTGGGAGGAGGAATGTGTCTTCGGAATGTGTCGTCAGCGTCAGGTCCAAAGTACCACCCCCTTCTGCGGCTACCCTGCGAGTTCACCTGAAACACCACAGGAAGCATTTAAGCGTGTTAAGAATTAGGGAGAGTTCGCCCCATTTTGTTGCTGAGGTCTGGCATCAACGTGCCATACTTGATCACTCTCACGATGAGGAGAGGGGGAAACGGAGCTGTTGAACACTGGGCGGTACCAAAAAGAAAACACATGAATAATGCCAGTGATTCGGTGTGATTCGGTCAGAGTCATGTTATTAGAATCTTCTCTTGGGGTGGTAATTCGGTCATGGTCAACAAGGTGTTGATTCAAATCTGTCCCAGACTCGTGAATCATGGGGTTCCAAGGGCTTGAAAAGTCTTGGTTTCCTCACAGACAGATTTTTGGTTTGGACCCTCCTGAGGTATAGTCTTTGACCTGAACAGGTCCTTTGGATTTTGATAGGGATTTTACTATGATTTACCACTTATCAACTCAAGGTTTGGCACCCTAGGGGAAGAAGAGCAGGACAGGCAGATTTTACAATGGCCTTTGTCCAGGTGGATACATCCGTTCAATGGTATGGATAGGTCATGTGTTCATCGATGGATTTATATACTGGAATTGGAACTCAGTGGGCTGACATCTTGGATGTCACCTGGTGGTTAGAACTGTTGAATATGCACCCAACATTCCTGAAAGGGTGTAGTTCGGACTGATCTTTGCAGTCTATACCTATCTGTTTTGGCTTCAAAAACTAGAGCTCTTTGAATTAACCGTGTTTGCTCAAATTGTCCGTAAGTGAGCCGATGCCGAAGTCTGCAGCTTAATTAGATGACCTCAATCATCCCAAATGGCTCCCCTTCGAAAAAAAATAAAAAAAACAAGTCGACGTCCACATTTCTTCCCCACCTTAGCAGTGCCGCCCAACCTGGGGCCTCCGTTTTTTCAGTCCTGAACCTGGGTCTTCTTGACCAACCTGTCGACCAACCTGGGCCCGTCCTGCCGTGGCGACGCGGGACGCGCGGCCAGGTTCTCCAAAGTCCTGATCTCCGGACGACGCAGTGTGCCCAACAAGGCGAAGAGAGCCGACACTGCGCGACACGGCGCGACACGGGTGGGGCTCACGGCTCGCGCGCGGTGTTGCTTGTGCGTGGTGGATGACGGGTGGGGGGAACAATGTGGAGCAAAAAGAAGATGCGCAGGACCGCTTAGACTCTTAGATGGGAGGTGTCCCTTAGGTGTGAAGTTCTGTACGTCATTCTCGCATTCAAAAGCCACAACTGGGCGAGATCGAAAGCAAAAACTTGAAGCTCCTTGCGGTTTCCAGGTACAGGGTTTCATGATGTTTCATGTAGCGGGTGCACGAGAACAAGCCCGACCATCATTAAGAACCCAAAGCTCTAGAACACCACAATAGAATACAATAGAAATACAAATATACCATTGCGGTTGAGTTAAGAACAGGAAATCCGGAGAACCACGGACGATTGCAGATACTCAAATAAGTCAATAGCCCACTTGTGACTTTGAGGTTGTTCTTCTTGCCCTTCACTTGGCAGGAAGAAGAACGAGAGAAGGTCATTGGAGATGTCTTAGTGATCCTGCAAACCTTGCTGAAGCGCACAGATAGCCTACAGACGCCTGGTCTGAAGATAAGCTCATTTGGAGGTTGTTTTCATGGGTGAGATGTGGTGGGAGATGGGAAGTTGGTGGGAAGAACGGATGATTGACGTATTTCCTGCAAAGAAAAGCAACGACCAAGCATGCTTTTTCACATGCTTTTCACCTGCTGACGTGTTGCCAATTTATGTGGAGGGTTCTAGACAGACTGTGCTGTGGGACCAATAAGACCCGCCGCCCCCAATTTCGGGGTCGTTGAGTCGGTTTGGGGGGTCAATCGATTGTAAATTGATGCCTCTTAATTTTTAGGAGGTCCCAAATGCTTTTTTTGGGAGAACATCGAGGGTCCTGATTTCTTTGTCAGCATTTTATGTCTTCAAGGTCAAGGTGCGTTTCTTTCTGTGTGTGTTTCTGCTCTTTTTGGTCCGTATATTATACTGGTGGATCGTGCACCACTCTCATGCACCACGCGAGAAGGGGAACACAAACACATCATACAGTTTGAGACCTCACTTGAATTTCTTACAGGGCTCCTATGTCGAATCGACCGACCTCATCAGTTATCCTCAGTTCTCTCCTGACGCCGTACGAACGGGTCTTCGTGGTCGAAACGATTAGTACAGTGAGACGTGCGTTCTCAACGTTGTGTGCAGACAAGCGAGGAACATGAATTGGGAGAAGGTGGACATCATTGACTACGAAAACTTCTTGCACCTTGGCGAAGTGACATTTCCCAAGATTCCACCCAAATGAGTGCATGGTGAACCGTCCTTGCACAACAATTAGCGTTTGCATGCGATCGCTGATTGTGTTTTGATGGGAAGCAAAAGATCACCAAGGCTTTGGGAGACGGAAACAAAGAGCTTATTCATGCAAAACGCAATCTAGAAAATCATCCGTTGATCTTGATGAAGCTGACCTTGTTTCCTTCCAAAACTCTCTGTTCTCGGACAACTTTCTATATGACTTACAATGACACTATCAGCTATCAGACTCGGCCACTTTCCAGACTCGGCCACATTCAGACACTTTCAGACTCAGCCACTTTCCACCGGACCGGCGACATCGATCTACGCCTGCCAGGCACATCATCAAGATTCATCGCCTGAAGACCAGCGACATACTGGAAGACGAACAGCCGCCTCGACTGTATGGATCGACTCACCCATCTGGTTTTTGCTTGGTTTGAGGACCACAGGTATACGGGAAAGGGATCGTTTGAGAGGTATGGGTTTCGGTCAGGTTCACAATGAGGTTATACCTGGCAAGGGTATCCTTCATGACCCCTCATGAGCCCTCAACATCACGCCGTGAAAACACAAAACGCCATTGTGGCCCCTGCCATGGTGGCAATCGAATGGTCGATTTGTCGACTGCAACAGAAGCCGTGCTGGAGGAAGGAACCAGGTATAGCTGATGAATGCTAATTACAGGAACTGAGCTGAAATCGGGGAAAGTCGCAGGCCTTGAGTTTGCCGGCTCATTGGAATTTTTGCTGAATGTTGTTCACCTGGATTTGTAGCTATACTTGCACCATCCTGTTTGTTTTTTTCCTGTCTGGAGATCTCCAAGTTGTGTAAGTCCAGCCTCGACACCCAGACAGGATGGTCCTGCTCGATTCTCAGTTGAGGCCTCGGATTTTCTCGGCGACATAGAGACTGGGGTTCTTCACCTATTATTGATGAATTAGAATGAAACTCCCGCAAGCCCTGATGAGGCTTTGTAATCGAAAATGGAAAGGTTGATAAACTCATCAAGAATCTACATGAGTCAGGTCAGACCTGCATGTAGGTTGGAGGCCATCACTAGTAGGTTGGAGACCACCGCTCTTAGGTTGGAAGCTCCTAAAACACAAGTTTCTCAAGAATCTACATGCAGTCTTCAGGTTTTTTGACTGCTGAGACCTGGATGCGGGCAAAAAGCCCCGTCACACATTCAGGATCCTCAATACGCTCTACCTGATGGTGAAGCAGGCCTTCCCCTTTAAGGGCTGCTCGGCCATGTGCAGATATTTGGAGGGAACTGTGAGATGAACATAGATGAAAATAACCCTCCAGAGAATCCTAGGGAGGATGTCAACATTCTGCCCAAAAACAGTCGCCAAGTGTTTGGATGTTTGAAGAAGGAATATGTTTTTTTTGTGAAGTTCCTGTAAAAGTACTTCTTTTCTTCATTTTTCTTCTACGTAACTGGTAGTGGATAAAGTGGTCCCCAACAATGCCAGGGTATGTGTGTGTGGTTTTCTCTCCTTGGATTGATCAGGAAGCCCCGGCCTCGTTTTGAGGAAGCAGACCCGCGGCTTTGGATCTGAATCCCTCTTGGTGGTGTAGGAGCGGCTTCCATCAGCAGTTGCACTGTCCTTTCTCTGCCTCCCAGAACCAACAACAACAACAAAAGGTGCAGAAACTCAAAAGGTACACGGTATACAAAAGCAGTAAACAGTATGATACGATATACAAAAGCAGTATGACACTCATTCTGATTCTTTGTGTTGTTGTTTTCACTTGAGGGTCCCTCACCGGACCCAAATATCCCAGATCGCTGTGAGAAGCAAAAAAGCCGCGAAAAGCGCGGTGCTTGCTGTTTCCCAGACACGACTAATGAGACTGGCATATTTACATACATTGACCCCGACTTCAACCACTCCAATGTATGAACATATGCCAGTCCCATATGGAACATATATATATGCCATACATGGAGTGTTTGGGTTTCTTTCTTGCCGATCGGTGCTGCTATCGAGGCTTGGTCTTCTTGGAATATCTCATGGAAGTGGCACCTCGGACCGCCGAAGATGAGAGAGAGATGAGAGAGATGTGGTTATATAGAGAATACAGAAGGATGATGCGCGGAAGGTTCCGGTCGAAGCTGCTTCATGGAAGTTGCTTGATTTTTAGGCCTGGAGAACTTGGGACAGGCTAGGAAACCTCCACGTCCATTTCCCGTCTGGGCTCCAGCAGGAGGTTACCTCCAAAACGGAGGTCTCCTGGATCCTCCTGGCACTCAGTCCCTACCCCCGAAACGAAGGTACGACTGGAGCCCAAACGGGACCTAGGGTTTGGATTCGTGGCCATATTCTGATCTGATTCACCTTGTTCCCCCATCGCCTGTCGCCGTCACTTTGCCGGCTTGACCTGATGGAAACCTCACTGACGAGCCTCACTGAAATCATCGAAAGTGGATGGCATGGGAGGTGGTTCTCCACGTCGTGATGAGTGCAGGCAGTGTCAGAGGCGTATAGTCTCATATGTCTGCGAAGGTTTCGTCACAGAGTTGGTGACCAGTCGCTCGTGTTGATTTCGCCCATGTTTTCCGGCCCAGTCGGGCGTGAAGGAAAGGGCCCACATCGTGTCCTGCATCTTAGAGCCTGAGCTGTCCCGCATGTCATGCACCGATTGTTGGATCATGACATTCACCCAGGTCCCTGGGGCTCCCTCTCATTGAGTCCTTCAGATTCAGAGATTTCCATGACCTTAAGCAGTGCTTCTTGGGGCCGACCGGGTGTCCTTCCAGAAGCAGACATAGATGCACTCCCCCCACACCTTAGAGCGCGAACGCGAACGCGAATGCGGGGGGGGACCTGAGGCGTATGGCGACCACCGAGAAGAGCACACTACGCTGCAGGACATGGCGGCAGTGGCTTGGGCTTGGACCGAGTCCCGCCCTGCATCGCGTGGGTCGGTGGCAGTCTATTCTCCTCTCTCAATTCACAGCAGGTCTGGTGGACCTTGCACTTGTGTGGGTCTGGGTATATGTTGCTTGTCCATTTTTGTTTGGAATATCATCCAATCTCGGGCTGAGTTTGGGATCCCAAACAGCAGGCTCCAAACCCATGGGCAACAACACCGTTTTTGGCTTTCAGACGTAGTAGACTCTCAGACGATATGCCGTGGTCGGACCTCGTGTACGTCCCCTTCTGCAATGCATATGCTTAGACTTCTCGTGATGCATGTCGCAGCACCTTTTTGTTGGACAAGCATGTAGAAACCACCAGGACTTTCAACATTGAGTATATCATTTATATATAGAGACTCAATTCATCGAATCCCCTCATGTCCATGGTTATAAAACCCCTGTTTATAAAACGGCGTGCCAAACAGTGAGGGCTTATAATGTTAACTATAAGATCGTGTTGTCTCCGGTTTCGACCTGTACATGTCCTTCATCTTCCCCTGCGCGTGTAGTCGATCGAACAAACCCAGCTCTTATCGAGGTTTGCTGTGCCATCATCTCCACACAGAACGCCACAGACGCCTCCACGCCGACGGTCGCTCGGCGAAGTCCTGCCAGGTCGCGGGTGGTCTGAGGTCGGGATCCAAAGATGGTATGGACCTGTGAGGATCCTATGGATTTCATGGATCAACATACCCAGACACGACTAATGGGACTGCCATATTGGTGCCAGGGGGGTCAATGGGGCGGCATATATATATGGCAGTCCCATGGAGTGTCTGGGATAAATGACCAACCTTTTTAATGGACGATTTGTCAACCCCCAGAGGTGTGAGATCTCTGAGATATCAGAGAATATTGGGACATGGAGGTGCCAGGCTCCAGGGAACTACCAAGCCCCTCGAAGTGGCGGGCAGTGGGTGATGGCAGCCGGGCCTGGCCGGGCCTTGGCTTCAGATCCTCCCGTCTTTTCACCGTCGACTGTGGACTGTCCTCAAGGCTGCGTTCTGCAGGCGTTGGTTTGGTTTTACTTCGGCGTTGGGGGGAGGTTTAATACGAATCAAGAGTCCACCTGAACATTGATGATATGTTGGTCATGACTTGGATCTTGATCAACTTGTCATGAATCATAATTAAGCAAAGGGTAAAGAACGTTAAGAACAAGCAAGGCTCACCAAGAGGTGGATAGGTGGTGCCCGGTAGCAAAACGGTTTGATGCCAAAAACAGATGGCCGGTCGTTTGGACGTGGAGCCGGCACTGAAGCACTGGGGTGTCGCATGCGGCTGACCATGCATGTGGGTAACTCAATCTCCAACAAAAGATGTTGTTCAGTCATTACACACAGAGTGATGATGAACGACTGAGTTAAAAAAGAAAAACCTCCAGGACACTGTTACATCCTGTTACCTAGAAGAAAGGTCACAACACTTTTCAGCTTGTGAAGGGTGCAATCAACAGTGACCAAGGCTAAACGGTCCGACGGTCCGATCGTAAGAGTTCCCCGAGAACCGGTAAACATATGTTTGAAAGGCCTTCGCCCATCAAAGCCTTAGAGGCTAGTCGCTCCGGCTTTTCCGTTTGACGGAGTCGCTCCGACTTCAGAGCTTTCTTTTTTGGGATTCGGAATCAGAAAGAAGTGACTCCCAGGAGTCACAAAGGGGTGGTGTTTGGTCCCTAAGCGAGTGGATAATGGGCACCCCTAACCTCCATTAAGCACCCCTTTGTGACTGCTGGTCTAGAATTCTTGGATCTTTAAGCATTCTTGGATCGGAATGACTTGTTCTCGACACCAGACACCAGACAGAAGTTGACGCATCTTCACTCTTCTTGAAGAGTCACTTCTAGACGAAAATCATAAATCCTTTTAGATATGGATTGTCAAAGGAAAAGTCTTGGAGGTTTGAGAGTCTCATCAACCAGCACCCGACTCCACAGTCTGTCTGAGGGACCCTAACAGGTGGATTCTGGACACCTGTTGCCACCAGGAAACACCTATTGGAGGCTCCAGGAAGGGTCTCCATGACTCAAAGTCTTCCACCTTCCCCAGGTGAATGTGGCCAGTGTGGTCAAGGACAATGCGGCCTTTGTCCATGCGCTGGAGCGTGTCCCGGACCCCAAGATGCAGATTTGGCACTACCGGCTTCTCACAGGCCTGGCCCGAGCCGGTGGTGGAATTTTCTTCTGCAGCTGGCGCCTTTGGTTGCGGGGAGGATGTTGAGGGTTTTGTTATTTTTCTTTGGAGATGGTGGCATGGGTGGATGAGGTGAACACTGTTTGTTGGTAGTGTCTGGTAGGGGAAGTAGAAGGTGCTGGGTTGCTGGGTGAATCAGGATGTGGTTTATCCCATTATTTGTAACAGTCGATAAGAGACTATCCCGATTTTTTGAGAAAGGCTTCTGTTAATCGTCATCATTGAATTGGCTCCCAATAGACCCTGTTCCCAGAAAGTCACAATCACTCTAGTCAAGCAATCCCTTCTCCACCAGTTTCCAAGCCTCTCTGAACAGGCAGGACGCAAGTCCAAGGTCACCGAAGAACCCCTTCACCTTCGGTTCATGTTTGCTACGCACCTGGCAACGACCCAAAGAGTCGCTCTTCCCAACGGGGTCGGACATCGGTCATCCCAGGATTCTCACCGCCCGACGGGTCCGAACCGGGCCAGGTTGGAGTCGCCGACCGAAGGCCTTGGATGACTTGGTGGGCGACACCGACGCTCGGGGCCGTTGGGCGGGCGGGCGCGCAGCGTCCAGCGGCAGAACTGTGTGGTCTGAAAAGGCTCAGTGACCTATGATGGATTTCCCCCCTCAAAAAGAAACGGGTGGAAAGCATGACACACAGGGGGGTCCCAAACATTGAAAAGGGTCCACGTCACCCACCAAAAGGAGATGGGGACAAACATGATTAGTGACTACGTGGAAGGTCCAAGTGGTTTGTTTTATTTGTTCCCCAAAGAGGTGGACAGTGACTGGACAGTGAAAAGCAAAGAGGTGAAAACATGATACCTTCACTGATGTTGGTCAGGCATTTCAATCAGCACACTGGATTTCGTGGTTTTCCACACGTCCATGTTGGTTAAGGGCTGATCCAGCCATGTCCTCCATGTTTTGAACCAGCATAGGAAGCTTTCAGGTTGAGTAGATCATGACTCGAAATCAGCACGAAGTAGATGGCTTTGTGGTGAGGAAGATGAAATCGGATGACATCCCTAAAGGGCTAAGAAGAGTCCCACGGCGGCCGGCCGGCCTCATGTAGCCTCATGTTGATGCAATTATGTCACATTATATGTTACCAGGCCTTTGGTGACCCAAAGGTAGATCATCACCACGAAAGGTTAGTATATTTAGTTGAACTTGGTTTGTCCTGTTTGGAAGAGAATACCTTGACATAAAGTAGGAACCTTGATACACATGTCACATGACTATATTATTTGTGAACAACTATATATTATAGACTATAGACTATAGACCTTTTCGTTTTGCTTGGTTTGTGGAGGAAACGTGGTCCACCCTCTTAACTATTTGAGGGGTGTACTTGAATAGGACTCTTGGACTCACCCCACCGGGTTCTGGTCTCTTTTCCTTCCTCCAGAAGGGTCGAACTGGGAGGTCGAACTGAGAGCTACACACCCATTGGACCCCAGCCTCTATGTATCATCCATGTCGTCCCAGGAAGCCTTGCGCTTTGTGGTGGAGCACCTCTTGGTCACTTGGTCAAAGCAGACGACGGTGACATTTGACGGATGGAGTCGTCCCTCGCTTGGTTCATGATGCATCAAGTTGGGAGCAGTGCTGAGACCAGGGCATACCAGGGCAAGCACACCGTCCAACAAGGATTGTATCATGATCTTTAGTATTGGCCACCTGAGTTAACCTTCACAAGATACCAAATCCACGGTTTGACACCCCCGAGCAGTACATGGAAGCTTCAATGGATTCTGACCAAGGGTAGTGGGTCCGGCAGCCACAGTTCACAGGGTGAAGTTGCAAGCGACAAAGCTACCTCTTTTAGTTAAGAAGTTTTGAACAATCCCGATCGCCGATCGGTCCCGATCTACAATTTCCGCATCTAATGTAGATGTCACTTTGCAGCCAGGTGACGCGGGTGCTAGTGCTGCTATTACTTTGACCAGTGGACTAGACAGCTATTGGGAGGAGGTATGAGCCACTAGCAACGGTTTAGTTGCTGGACTGAATTTGTATAATTTGTTTGCTTCTCCCCAGGGCTTCGACCGTATTTTTGTTGGAAGCGCCACGCTGCAAATATAAATAGGTGCGGTGTGGTTGTGCTACTTCTCCTCAAACTGACAGTCCTGAGTGTTCGGTGTCGAGTCCTGTCTTCAGCATCCAGTCCTCTCAGCGCAAACGCTTCTCAGGAGACACATCTCTGCCGCTATAGTGTGGTGATCGTGCACAACATCAGTCCCTGGGAGAAAACCGCTTAGCCGGAAAGGAAGGACATTCTGGTGTTGGATCAGACCAGACCAGGATCATCCAATGGGTGTCGGGTGTCCTGGCTGGACTACCCTACACTACTTCGGGGTCTCCATTGGATGGTCTAGGTAGACATAGAAGGAATTCTGCCAGTTTTTTGTTGTTTTTGACCTGTCCTGGCCTTGGCATGAACTTTTGGCAACTCACGAAGATGTAACATTTCATGTCAATGGTGGCGGGAACATTGTGATGGTTCAACCGTTCCATTGTCTATCTGCTAATTTATTTGAGGAGATTATCAATTATTATATGTTATTATCATCATTATGTGGTGATTTGAATATGAAGCCCCAGATAGATGGTCCCAGCATCCTAGGCGTTTTTTGTCCTTTTCTGAAGCATGATTTGACCTTGACTCCTCCAAATGCCTTGCTGGTGTTGAGACGACCCATCGATGGAATGGGAGTCTGGCAGTCATCAGTTGCACTCTCTTTTCTACCTCAGGTCATGTTCCAGTCACCAAAGGGCACTTGTTTCTTTTTTGTTGAAAGCATATCGCTTTTCTCAATCCGAGCCAGATTCGGTGTGGATTGTTTTGTTTCGTTTGGGTGCAAACGTGACTGCACACTATAGTGGTACGTAGATGGCTAGCCTTTGACGGTTTTTGGCTAGGGGAGAGGAGGCCATGACTTGTGGTCAATGGAATGCTGATTGGTGGAACAAGGTCAAATCGTTATAATGTAAACTCTTGATTAATAACCGCCCATATGAAAAGGATTTCTAATTCAAATAGGGGGGAGGTTATTAATCAGGAGTCTACATTAGTTCTTGCTTCTTGGCCTCGCTCAATGCATGAGTCACCTCACACAAAAGAGGTGCATCAGATGATCCAAGGGTGGCAGCAGTTGGCAAAAGACAATATTTTGTTTGGGGGGAAAGGACTGACTAGTCATCATCATCGACTCTGGTAATGGGACGGTATACCCAAGTCCTGCCCTTGTTTGGGAAAAGATATGAAAAGATCCAATGCTCTTGAACTCACTGCACAATTCCATGGATTTCATGCACGGATCACACAACCAGGGTCGCTATGCAGGAACCCCGAACTCTAAAGAGTTTATCTCCCTGTTAGGACCAACATGGATCAACCACCATCGCCCTTATGGTGTTTGGCCTCTAGTGAATCGAGACACATGTGAAAACCAGGACCATGGTTTCCATATATTGTGCATCCCTTCACACCCACTCCATCCCCCCAAAACAAACCGCACCCCCCCCCCGTCCCCGAACCCCCCCCGGTGACCACCGAAACCCGCCACACGGTAGGTATGCTCCGCAGTTCGGCGCTGTTGACCTGTCCGGGGCACCTCTCCACGATCTGCGAAGCCTATCGACAGCTGGGCCCGGGCGCCACGCTCCACCGCCCGGGACGCCCAGCGCGCCACGCGCGCGGCGTCCGCGGGTGGGGTCCGGTGCGTGGATGCAACGTTCGGTGGGTGTTGCTGAAGGAAGTGTTGTTTTCAATTGGTTTGGCAAAAGGAGGTTGGATGAGGTTGAGCTGAGGGGCCCACTTAGCCGACTTGTTCGATGGGGCAGCGGAGCCTTGTGAAGGTGGAATTTGGTATTGAAAAACAGAGTTGCAGCACTTGTTCTCTTTGTTCATCAATTTTGGGTGATCCGGGCAAACTGACTTGGATCCCGGCTTCATCATAGCTGTGACATCGCCACCTTCGAGTCAACAAGCAACGTTGGGTGCGCGGAGTGATTAGCGATCAGTGGCATCCCGCTTGAACACTCGCTGGACACCAAGATGTGGAAAAAATTGGAGAGATGAACTGTTTGGCAAGCGATTTTTGCGGATTGAGTCCTGGGCAAGTTGGAATTCCCCAGACCCTATTTTGCATATAGCAGTTTGTTGATATCAAGAGGATCCGGGCTCACAAAGAATGAAGCTGTGCCAAGGGCCCGCCTTTTGGGCAGTGACCGTTCTGAACACAAGACGCCAAGCCAAGCGTTCTTCGTTTCCAGAAGCCAAGCCCGAAGATCACTTCCTTCGATGAGTTCTTCAGCTGTCATGAAAATCCATCCCGCCAGGGCCAAAGGAACGTCCGAGGAAGAAGACATGTCTTCTTCGGACTAAAGGCAGAGTAACGTGCAGCTCGCGCAGGCGAGCTGCTCAGTTTGGGGCATCATGGACATGTCAATGTCAGCTGGCCAACGATGTGGGACTTGCGGCGAGGTGAGGGTGGATTTCACCTGCTGTTGCGCGTCGAACAGACGGACGACTCTGGCGCTTTGTGGAAGTGAAGTCATCACTGACGGAGCCGCTTTTCGGCTTCGATGGCTCACCCGCAAGAAGTCTGTCGCGGGTCGCGGCGTTGGGCAGCATGGCTATGCCCTAGCCAGAGATTTGGAGCATCCAGTGCCAGCTGTGGTGTGAACTATAGTGAACTACGGGGGACCCGTGCGCCTTGTTTCTTCCCTCAATGATGACAAACAAACATGTTGAATTCAGATGACAAATTAAGAGTCAACAAAGGCACGAGCTAAACCACACACTTCCATTGACTCATCGAGACCTAAACCACACACTCAACTTCACTCAACTAAGATGCGCAACGGAGTTCCCATGGCATCTCTCCACCTCCGCCACGACGAGGTGGCGATGAGAAGCAACGGCGCCTGGTGCGGCGCTTGTTGTTGGCCGCGGTGCGCAACTGCCTTTGGAACTCCTCCAACGTGCAGAAGGAGTTCCAACCGAGTTTCGGAGCTGAGGAGTCGGAGAATCAGGTAGCTTTGGATATCTTTGGATCCTGAGAGGTGCTGAAGTATCTGAGATGTGAAGGGGACCATCCTACTGGTAATTGAAATTTCATTCCCTAGCATATTTGGATGATATAGTCAAGGGACCTTCAGTAGATGGACAAAATAATCAAACCCCAGCACATCATGTTGTCTCCATGAACCGCAAACCCCATATCTCAATGTTACAAGTTCAACATGTTTGTTTGGTACCTTTAAAACCCTTGGGGTTTGATCGTCAGTTTCGTCCATTTGACCCTAGTCTCCGGGAATGTCAACATTGATTTTTGTTTGTGGGGAGGAAGTGTATGTGGTCAAGGGGTTTGAATGTTTCGTCCCTTTGTGGTTGCTGGGGTATATCTACATGTTTGGCGGTCCAACTTCAGCCTCGAAAGCTTTCAGAAAGTCAGTGATGTTCCTCTTCCACATGGTGCTAGTTTGTTCGATCAAGTGACACAGGACGAAGTGGTCTAAACGATAGAATTGAACAGGATGCTCTTTGTTTGCCTTTAGGATTGAACTCTTACCATCTCTTGTATACTCCACGTCATGAAAAGTATCACATAGACAAGCATTCCATCCCCAATCTCGTTATTCTTTGGATGTCAATCGGTGAAGGCAAACAGGAAAATACATTTGGGAACTCCACATTTGCTCGAATCTTGTCCAATCTTTCGTTTCTGATTGGTGATCTGGACTTGTTCTTCCTTTGTTCTCTCTACTTAGGGAATGATTCTAATTCCCAACTTTGGCCATGGCAGCAACATGGACTTTTATCCCGTAGAAACCGATACTCCCTCCTTGCCGGGAAACAACAAATAGCTCCGTACTCCGGAGGCACACGAAACAAATGGGCCGCGAGGAGCTGCATGAGGATGATATGCTCAACATCATCAACTTGGTCTCCTGCATCGAGGCGATGGAACGTTCTCCGATGTTTTTTTGTTTTGTCCAGTGCCCGGTGCCAATCGAACGAAGGGAGAGTTGAGCATGCGCGACTGTTCCGAATGACTAAAAACTGAAGGGACGAATTGCAGCAGACATTTCAGCTCGTAGGTCTGGCTGAACGGAATGAGAAGAACCAAGCCAGAAAAAGAACCAAACAAGCTGGTGGTGGAATCATCATAAGGTCCTCATATCTTCCACGCACCATGAGTCTCCAGAGGTTTTTCGGCGTTCACATTGATGTTTCTCCTGCGACTTCTTGGATGATGTGGGTGAAGGGGAAAGCTCTTAAGTTCTTGGGATCATTTAACCTTAGCCAGCTCGCTGCCTGCAGTGGTGGTGCTGTATGCATCACTGCTGCCACAAGCCCCCAGGATCCTTCCTTTTGGGATCCTTTTGGGATCCTTTTCGGCGCCGGAAACGGCCGCGGCAGGAAGCTGACTTGCCTTTCTTCATGGCCGTGATTCTCTACATCAGTCCCTTGCACAGACATCAGTCCCGTCCGCGACGAGACGGATGGAGATGTGAGACGAGAACAGCGTGATAGTCGGATGATCAACCGAAAGGGCAAAAGGGAGAGTACTTTCCAGTTGGGAAGAATGTTGACATTTGATACCACTTGATTATATCATAAAACATCATGTGAAGAGGTCTTACAATCCAAATGCATACTTGTAGGGGGTGTTTTGTTGATCAAAAGTCTACATTCAACAGTACTTTCGCTCATGTCCACTTTGGAAAGAAATGTGCTTCCCGAAAATAGATGAGAGAACTTACGAGCGACTCTTGCTACATGGGCAGATGCCATAGGTTTTTAGAGCCGCTCAGTTGCCAATAGAAATTAGAGAAATCAACCGAACTGTCCAGTACGGCTCAAAGCACTGCAGCTGTTCACCAGGGAGGAACCGAGGAACCCTCCAAGCTCACCCATTTTGAGGTACACGTCAGTCCCTGGACTCCTTTAAGGTACAGGTGCTTGGGACTTTTGTTGGGGACCCATAAACGTGAGCATGAAAAATCCAACGTACATGTTCATGAAAAGACACATGATATCAATGAAATGATATCCATATCATTCATGGGATCCTTCTAAAAAATACGTGTAAGAATTCAGTGTGATGTTTTACAGGTCCACCGGTGAATTCCGGATACCTCTTACGCGCCGCGAACTGAGATCCGAGGCTTGTGGTCGTGAAAAGCAGGCGGTGCAGTCGAGTAGTGCAAAGACCCAGTAGTGCAGTCGAGAGCGGCTAAAGAATGGGTCCAAAGTGCCAGGTTTTTGGGACATGAGTCCATTTAGACACGTGTGTCAAAGAATCTGAAAGAAAAAGCGCTCACCCCCCCCACAGACTTCATCAACCTTCTCTTGACCCCTCCCAAAACCTGGTACATAACCTCTCTTTTATTGGGACCTCCCGTCGTCCTCGGGCCGTTGGCCGTTTCCCGCAGCTGAGGTGAAGGCTGCGAGATCAATCGCGCCACTTGGGACGGCGCCAGACGCGACAGGATCGGTGGAGAGGTTGGTGGTCGTAGAGGTGCGCGGAGGTCAGAATGGTGGTGGGTGTAGAGGTTGGGGGAAGCTTCGCTGTTTCTGGCTTTCACCCCATCGGAAGGAATTGCCCGTTCACAGCCGGGTGGAGAGGGTGGATCGAAAGGACGTTCCATAATGCGGAACGTTTTGAAGTGAAGACTTGTTGATGGATCTCCACAGCGGGGGAGGGGGACAAAGCGAGGGAAAGTTTGAAAGCTCTGCATTCATTCAAAGTACACCTGGAAGATTAAGATAGAACCTGAAAACCACTTGGTTGTAGAGGAAACTAATTAGTCTGCCAATGGTCTACTTTCAGGTTCCAGGTTCATTTTCCCTGGTGTAAGAGGAGAAGTCAAGAAGTCAAGAAGGTTTTATTTAAGTCAGGCCCTGCGAAGACCCATCGCGTGGTTCAAACACTGCACATTGAGTTATTTCTGACAAGAAGCTGTCATGCAGTCAACTGTCCCTATGGATCCACATACCTTCTGAGAAGGTGATTGGAGACTATTTATGTAGGCGCCAGGAGGGTCCAATTGCCTTCTGAGGTTCGGTATGTGGATCCATAGGGTGTAGGAATTGGGGACTTGTTATGTTGACATCTTTGGAGAAGCAATTCCTGTGGGTCTTGGGGATGGGTGAAGAGTGGACATATACTGGTTTGGTGGCTTCAAATACGACCTGGAAGGATGAATCCTAATTGGGTTGAAACCGTCAATCACCAAGCAGTTTAAGTCTGCAAACTCTTGAGCGAAGACCTCTTGCAGGATGCTGATAGAAGGAAAATCTAGCACCTACAAGGGATTGATCTTGGCTCAGGAGACACACTTTCAAGCTAAGTTCTAGGATATACCTAGATCTTCCAACTATTCCAATTTTATGCCTTTTCACCTTTAAAACCAGCTGGAAGGCATACATTTCGCATCCTTGAAAGATCTAGGTGATGTCTACCGGTCTATATCTCCACCCACAAACCCCCAACAACCCGGACCGGTGACCTCCAATTGACTGTCCGAAGGTCTTTGACTCAAAGGTCTTAAGCAGTTCGGTACGGTTGACCTGCAATTTCTGCAGTGGTCTGGCCAGATGCAAAAGCTCATGTTTTCCCCATCAGGAGAAAAAGCCCTAGATCTGGACTCTGAGGTTCGCGAGGCCATGTATGGCAATGCTCAGTTGCTGGAGTTGATGGTGCGATGTATGTATCAACAGGCACGTGGGAAGGCAGACCCTCAGCGGTGGGCCCTCGTCTCCTGATAGACGACAGCTGATGTGTTCCTTGTTTGCTACCTGGACATGAGGGGATACTAAGGGTGCTTTTGGAACCTTCATTTGATTTTTGTTTAATCCTGGCGCCTCCGCATGTGCACACTTCCCAACACTGTTGCATGTTTGGGTAAAATGTACATGCAAAAAGTAGAAACCGCATGAAACGACTCAGCCTCTGTGCAGAATCCAATCCGGAGTTCAAGCCATCAAAGCTGGTGCTATCCCTGAGCTTATTAACCCTTAACCATAGCTTGGAGCCTTGGACAGATGGATGAACATTCGATTCCCTTTGTATGGCTCCTAAATAGTCTCCTAATTTGCCTTCGTCTTTGAAACTCGCTACTGGTACTTGGGCTGGGTGGGTGCCCCTGGGTTCAACCTGGATTTGAGCATGTTGGATGGGATGCCCTCCAGATGAACATGGACCCCTGAAAACTGGCAGATGAGACTAGTCTTACAGAGGTCCATTTTCATCATATCCACTTGCGAGTGCATCTTCAGCGAGTCTCATCTTCAAAGACTCCGCCGTTGTGCACCGTGTGCGCCTTCAGCTTCACCGGGCGTTTTCAGTGTAGCAATGGAGGTATCGATGTCACTCGTGTGAATTCACCGGGTGAAACACACCTCAGGATGTGGCGTTTTTGGGCGGTTTTTGCCGTCGGCTTTGGGGTGTGTTTTTATTCCCTAGGGCTCCAACCATATCCTCAGGAGGTGGTTAGACCCCCCAAACCCACCCCAACCATCTTCTCAGGAGGTGGTTGGAGCCCTAGGGATTATTGTGTCTCATTCTCCCAGTCTAATCTGGTGTGGCAACACTAGTTCTGCTCAGCATCGGCACGAGGCCACGGCATGTGTGGTGGATTTGGAGGAGGAAAACAAGTACGAGAGTAGCATGTATCTTGGCCTATGTCGCTGGTCCAGGGGTCAAGGGGCTTTGTTGGATCCTTCGAGATGATATGCTTTTCCCTAGCAGCATCCGGCTTCACGCACAAGTGACCAATGATTCGACCTTGTTGGGGCGCGTCCCCGACCGAACAAGGAGACATGTTGGATGATGTCAATTGAATTCTGTGGAATGTCCCTGCCCAGGCGTGACGCTGGACCTGAACCTATGGAGAGAACAGACTCGAATCCTTTGGAGGGGTCCGGGGTCTATAGGTTTTCAGGGAGCGTCAGGGCTGTTTGGAGCGTTTGGGTGTACTCAAATCTATACGTTTTCAAACAGGTTGGGTTTAGTTTTTCGATCATCTCGTGCACAGAAGCTGTCCGGACTGACGGCTGGATTGATGGCTCCTGGAGTCACTGACTCGATGCGAATCTGGCTGAATTTCTTCACTGTGCTTTCCCAGACCATCCATGGGACTGGAACAGTTACTTAGATGGATGGGTCATGTACACGGAATGTTCTAGTCCCATTCGTTTGGATTTAGGAACTCCCCAGGTGTGTTTGTCATTGATATTTGTCTCGAACTATCGCGGCCATACCAAACGGACTTTGACCAACCACTAAATGCGCATGGGTTGTTCGACCTGGAGCCCTGGTCCGTGTAGGTTGACCTTCATATAAAAACACGATTCCCCCCCCAACTGTTTGCCTTTGTAGCCTTTTTTGCCGAAAGTGCACCACAAGTGATGTTGAGAATATATACAACAAATCCTGTAATAGGTTGATCTAGAAATTCACCAACAGCCATCATCTCAAGCGGAGCAAAACCACCCCTCCAACTGCACAATCTGTGAGAACACCAATGTTTAGTTCCCTTTAACTCATACTTTGTTGCACGTTGTGTGTCAGGCCGCAAAGCGTTTGACGCTGGCGAAGAGGATAACGAGGATTGTTTTTTTCCCTCCACCAGGAACAATAACAACAAAACCAACACTTGAAAAGCAAACAACAACAACAACAACAACAACAACAACAATGACCTCCGCGCAACAAACTCAAACACACAAAACAACCTTCGAACATGGGTACACATATATACCTGTTCTTTATGAGGTAATGTTCCCATTTTCGGTACTGGGTCAGTCGGGTCCAGGCCCCAAAACACCGATCGTACCGCAACGCCTCGAACGCCGAACGCCTCACAGGTACGGCCTCATCACCGAGGAGGAGGCCCAGCGCGCGGAGCGCTACGATGCGCTCATGGAGCACTCCGAGGCGATCGCCAACGCGCCGAAGAAGCAGACGGAAGCGTACAAGAAGTTGCTGGCCATCCCAGGAGCGAGCGACGGGTTGGAATGGTTGGATTGGATGGTGTTTTCTTGATGTGTTCTTGTTTTTCGTGGTCTTTCATGGTGGGTCTTTCCCAGGAGTGACATAGGGACAGGGGTTTGAATTGGGTGAGGTTGGATGGTGAGTCATTAGATGGTCTTACTAGAGGTGTGGGAGGATGGTTGGTTCAATGGTGGGCTGGCTTTCGAAAAATTGTTGGTTGTATGGTGTTCTTCAGTTCTTACTAGAGGTGCGACCGCACCGTTGAAAGATATGGAAGTGGAAAGCAAGCACTGTACGTTTCCATGAGGCAAAGGAGGCTTGGGGGTCACTATCAATGGGTTGAATTGCAGGACCATCCAATAATGTGCCCCAACAGGCTCCCCTACACTACAGGTCTCCAGACAGGACTCCCAAGACAGGATGTTCGTATGGCATAGCGCTGGCGTGGCCTATGTCATCAAGTTTGTGTGTGTAAGACAGGATGTTCTTTCGTCTCCTTTTGCTCATTGGTGTTCCTTTCGGGATTGATCCGCCTTACTAAGCAAAGCGTCAAGAAATCCCTTCGCCGGCCTTGTACGGACTCTGCAGCTTGCCATCCCTTGGACTGCGTCCAGTGGAAACGTCCAGTCTTACGGTACCAACGTGAAACGTGGCAGGATCCCCTGCAGCCCGGGGCCTGGGAAAAAACAGCGAGCTTGTATCAGAGGAACCTTGGCAGAAGTGCTGTTGTTTGGTCCATTGGACTGGGCAAACCATGACATGTGTGGGGATGTTGATGGGAAGAGAGGCCTGTTTTGGCGGAACATTGGAGCGCAAAGAGATCGGTTTTGGGGAACGATTTGATGAGGGTCTTGGGTTTGAGGATTTCTTCTCTCGCCAAGGGAGTGAAAAAAGACAACAGATGGACATGGTGAATAGTGAATTCCGACCAGGATGAACATGTCCATTGATCTTCTTGTTTAAAAGTCCAATAGTCCCGCCTTATTCCACTTGGTCTTGATGTTTTGCATGTTGCTAGGATAAATCAAGGGGGTTGAGCCCAACAATGTTCAAGGAATGTGCAGTCGTGCGCCAGCAAAGTACAGAGATACTGCATGGAATCATGGAGTATTTTAGTTGAGTCAGGGATCTACTGCCTTGGCATCTACTCTTTGAACACATCCAGAGCTTCCACATTTTGCTTAAGGAACCTGAAAAAATGATAGAACATATTTCCCAGAAGGGCATCTATATACCCATATTATACCCAATATTGGGAAAAAAAAATAGAACAAATCACCTGATCCCCGTCCAGCCAGGATAGACATGACATAATCTTTCCTACCAAGTCAAAGGGTCCTGATAGGTTCGTACCCTTATGACCCCATTGAACACGGATCGACGCTTTCGAAGCTCCTTCAACCTCACAAAGCTTTCTTCTGGTCTTATGCATCCTGAAGACCCTGCTCCTTGACATCTGAACCTCACCATATACCGAAAAAGCCTATAAAGAGGAGCCTCTCTTATGAGGGCCTAGAGGAAGGAGCCTCACCATATACCTCACCATACCTATGGTGGCCTCCATCGGAGCCTCCATCACTCACTCACCCTCCCACGTCAGGAGCCGCCGCAAGGGCACGCATCCAGCGGCTGGAGTCCGGGGGGAGGTCACCATGAACACGACCGGCACGGCCTCGCGCAAGCTCTCAGCACCTTGAGATGGAATTCGATCGGGGCCGGCTGGGCTGGTGTTCAGGCTGGCGGGTGGCTGCCGTCAGGTGGAGGAGTTGAGGGGAAGAGGGGCGGGGGGAAGAGAGCAGAGGGGGTCTGGTGGGTCAACTTGGAAGGTTGAGCTGTTGATCGTGGCTCGGAGTATGTTATTGTTGTTTGCGTCCTTTCATGTCATTTCCTCGTTCGTTCGAATGTCCTAGCGACCTAGTGTTGGAACTGCAGATTGTAATAGAATGGATTGACAAAAAGAATCCTTAGCTTTCCCTCGTACCCTTGGACACCTAAAGCCAACTGTGCTATATTGTGCTATGACTGCTATGATTTTGTTTATTCCCCATACTGAAGTCGACTTTCAACAAACCGATCTGTTCTGATCTCCTTTCAGAACATCCAAGTACTTCCACGGGTTTTTCATCCGAGGAAGTGGAAGAACGCCGCGGGCAACAAGAGCCTCTCGGCAGGGCCAAGGTGTGGATTTTGAGCACCACGGAGGTCACCGGGTGTCCATGAATAGCCCCTTAGGATCCCTCAAAGGGTTCAATCCGGCCACCATCTGTTTTTGTTTCAGCTTTGCATAGCTTCGCCGTTTGGTGGGTGAACGGTCGGTCAGCTTCACCTGGCATGCAACGAATTGTTCAGCCAGCGCATCGCGCATCACCTCATGAATCATATATTGCTTCATTCCAGAGGCATCAATAGGGTTCATGGGATCGTTCGAACGGCAGATCCACATCTTCAGACAGGAGTGGATCGATCCGTTTCGAGGCATCCAGGAGGTATACCGAACCGGTTCGGGACGACGAGACGAGCCTTCCAAACTTACAGGTCGAACAGTGTCGAACACATCACCGCACCTCAGAGGGTATGTGGATCCCTATGGGGATTGTTTTGGATGCACCAAAGTAAGTCAGTCGTGAGCCGAAGATGGAATTCGATGCCTTTGCTGATTTTGCTGGGCCTGAGGCTGCAGATGGTTGGCTTAATCAAAGCCTTTCGGCTGATTCCCACTCTACGAAGACCAACCTCCTCGCCAGATTTCTTGAATGAACTAGACCAGCTAGACATATAGACCGACCATTTCCCATGAATGTGCATTTCAACAGGGAGGCTCATGGGGGGGAGACCACCTGGCGCAATTGGTGAGCTGGTTTGCTGTTTTCCTTCTGGCCAGGAGGTATCCCTAATACACGCCCAAACAATATCGAGCAACTATGAGCAACCCGGATATGTTTTCCAGAACATCTCATTTGCATCACTTGCCGATCTGGATCTCACCCTCGATTTCAGATGGATTTCATGTCGCAGCCGCACCCTGTGGCACTCGCTTCCTCGTTGTTTTGGGCACCCCGTCCATCCTCACCTCTGTCCGAGGTTTCTCTACTTCGCAGCCGTCGAGCTGTTGACCTATGGCACCTTTGCAGGCGACGGTGGTTGGATGTGCCTGCTAGTAGCAGCAGGGTGCAGTGACACCAGCGTAGATGCTCACGTCGTGTTCCTGTGGTTGGCAGGCCCATGTTTCTTTTGAGTTGGTGTAAATTGGTATTTGCATGAGAGGTAGCACCACACATGTTGTTCGCACATGTCTTCAAGGTGTGGCATCACAGGTTTGCTCAGATGAAGCCGGACAAGCACGAACACCCTCGATAATCGAAGAATCGACCAAGGTCTCCAAGAGCCAACAGCCCAGAACGTTGGGTCCCCATGAGACGCGAAATCAGAAGCCACACATTCTCACTTTCTTGCCCACCCTGATCTCACAACAAAACTGGACTGGTAGCAACATGTAGCAACAACCCCCCCATAATGCAAGCTCAGTTCTTGCACAGCACCTCCAAAAATGGATGAGCTCCAATGACCTCCAACTAACTTAAAACCCCCCTTTCTTCGCTTCATTCCCACGCGCGCGCCGCTCGCCGACCGCCAGGCGACGACCACGACCGGCGCTTCCCGCCGCCGCCGACGGCGGAGCCGCACCGGGCAGAGGTGGCGGAGGCCTTGCACAAGGCGTTCCAACGCTTTACGCTGCAGAACTTCTTGAAGCGCCTCAGTTGGCCATGGGAAAGGCAGGTAGGTTATGGATGTTATGGTAGGTAGGTAGGTAGGTAGGCAGGTAGGTTAGGTAGGTAGGTAGGTAGGTATAGGCATATTTAGGCCCAAAAAAGTGTGGTGACCACCGAAGATGAGGGGTGGATACGAGCGGATACGAGAGGTAGGTTTTGGGGGAAGAGTAGATTATATAGATGGAGTGAATCGAGTCGAGGGTGGAGGGCAAAGGTGACAGGGACATGAGTTGGTGGAAATGTGTGGGAGGTGTATGAACTTCTGAGGAGAACCTTGGATGTTTTTTTTTGGAGATCTTTCCAAAACGGCTAGAACTGGGGATGTAAGATTAACTTTGTGAAGGGCCGAAGGTAGATGCTAGAGAGTGGGTGAGAAGATTGTCCACGCTGGATGAAGAGCTGTTTCAGGGGTCCGCGCGAGACTCACCATGTGGTTTTTTGAGTTCTGGGATCCTGTTGCGATGTTGTTTCAGCAGAGTCTTGTTGCGCTTTTGGGACTCCATCTGCCCAAAGACTCCATAGACTCCATCCCAATAGACACAAAGAACACCAATCAATGCGTTTGCACAAAATGGTTGTTTTTATCGGAAGACATACATGTCACATAGCCTAGATAGAGAAGAGCCCATGCAAAACCGCAGCACATCCCAAAACGGGATGCATTTTTGGAGGACGATCACCTATACTGTTGGAGCTTCTCCATGTAAAACCGGGGTCTCTTTCTGTTGAGTCTCTTCCATCCCAATCCTCCAGGGGCAAGACTCGACGCTGTGCTTCGGTGCAGATCCGTCGGATGAAGGATCCACCCGCGCGCCGAGGATTTTGGCCGAGCAAATTCAGCAGCACAAGAAGATGAAGGCAACAGACATGGAGGAATCTGAGTGGGCTTTGGGTCGAAGAGGGCTTCAACTTGAGGACATCGTCCAAGAAAGGTGTTGCATGGATACATTTTAGGGGGTGAGGAGCTGTTTGGGGAAGAGTTTGGGGAAGATTCTGCATTTGGAGTCTCTTCCTCGGAGGTGATGCGCATTATCCCTCTTTGATCGGATGGGAGCAGTTTCAGTTTTTGGTTGCACAGGATCCCAACTGATACATTGAAATCTCAACAACTGGAGTGCCCCTGCCCAACCTGCTCCTTTGTGTTTGGACTGACCAGGGTTTAGCGACACCAAAACAACTAGTCAGTGAACACATGTTCAGTTTTGTACAATTTTGTGTGTTCTATAATAAATATGTGGCGTGTTTTGAGTTGAAAGTAGCAAATGCACAGGCGCGGGGTGTATGACTTGCTACTCTCACAGAGCGTCCAGGGCGATCATGTGGCAATTCTTCACTCAACATCGCTGGGTCGCATGCCCGGTTCGCACCAGATCTTCCTCGCTCATACACAAATGGGTCAAAATCATGGGTGGCACCTATCAGGACCATCCGATCATTTGGGTCTCCTGGCTGGACTAACTGGAATGGAACCCCAAACATTTGTTTTTTGTTGGTCCTCATACAATGTGTGCGACCAAGCCAATATGATATACATGCATGCGCGTTCGGCATGCATCAACCACCAGTGTATTGCATCGCCCGAAGAAGTCTTCAGGTGGTCTTGTCAGACATGTTCATGCACGTCTCGACCAAGTTCCTCTGGCACTGCTGGACGCAGCCGATCTTCACCGGCTTCTTCGACCGCACCGATTCGCCGCTTCATTCGTCCTGCTCAACGCGGGTTGACGGGGGGGGGTCCTCAAAGCCCAGCGTTGTTGTTGTTGTTGCTGTTGCTGTCGTTGCTGTTGTTGTCATTGTCGTTAGTCGTTGTCGTTGCTGTCGTTGCTGTTGTTGTTGTCGTTGTCGTTGTCGTTGTGGCTGTTGTTGTTGTCGTTGTTGTTGTTTTTGTCGTTGTTGTTGTTGTTGTTGTTGTTTAGTTTTTTCTTGTGACCATGCGCCTGGAGATTGGATAGAGGTTGTAGCCTTGACCATAGTGGCTCACGAATAAACCAGAGTCGTCATGTGTTTTGCAATACTGCAAGCTTACTATAGGGGTTCCTACCTTTTTTTCCAGAGGGTGGCTGGTGCAAAGAAACTTGTTGGAGATGCTCCAAAGCAGATGATGTTGGAAAAATCTATCTCCAACAAGCTGTTCGTTCACATCTTGCCCAGGTTTAGGATAAATTTTTCATGCGCTTGGCCCAGATCCCTTTGATGATGGGACCGAGTGATGTCGAAAAAAATAAAAAGGATCAATCACTGAAAGACAAGAGGATCCAACTGTTCAGGGCATATCAGCGTAAAAAGGCGGCTGGAAGGTCCATGGTCCATGCAGTTCTTCTTCATGAGTCAGACTGGGGTCGGAACAGTCGTCGGTCTCCCTGTGTACCAAAAACATCCAAATGGAGAGACTTGGAGTTGAACAAAGCAGACGGAAAAATTATTTGGGATAGCTTGGAGGCACTCGGATGATTTGACCATACCCCTTGTACTACACTGAGCCTCTCCAAGTTTCCTCGTAGCTCAGTGACGTGACCCGCACGTTTTGCCTCACCTGGAAGACCCCAGGTTATGTGAACACTGCACAAAACCTGGAGATCTTAGCCCAGTTGGTGCCTTTCATGATCAGTTGGCCCAACCACGATGTGCAGATGATGAGCCCTGGCGTGAAAAAAAAACAGGGCCGTGGTTAAACAATCGCGGATTTGAAGTCTCAAAGGACTTGATATATGTCATGGGACCTGGCGGGGGATCCTGTTTTTGTTCTCCACGGAGAATGAAGAGAACATACTACTTTCGGAGGTCAACCATGGTCAACGTAGCAGGGTGAAGTGGACTATGGGCTTGGATCCACAGCCATATACGCTGACGTTTAGGAGAAGTGCCTGGTGGATTTGAAGGAGGTGAAGACGGTCAGTCCACCGTCATGGACCTTGGGACGCGGTCAGTGAAGCTATAGTGATTGATTTGCCTGGTGCAGCTATTGAGATTTATTGAGTTAATTTGTCCTAACTGCCAAGAAGGTACATGTCCCAGCATCACATCAGCAAAATCACCGCCACCACCAAGTTTTGCATGAACGCTGGTCTTCACGCCAAGTCTCCGTGCTAGTGGTTTTTCTCCAGTTTTTGGTTCGTCGGAGTCTTTCCTTGGTCAGCTCCCGTTCCAACAATCCCAAGGCAATCTCAGGGGACTGGCATAGACAACCGACGGCGAACAGGTCACCAATTGAAACCTGCCTACATAACATACCCTCCATGTCGGAGACCTGTTGGGTGCTGGTATCGACCTCTACATTGACCCCTGAACTTCAACACCACACCCAATCCATCCCCAACCTGCTTGGGGTCAATCTGCCACCCTCCGGTCCTTGGGCGTGCTCCGGTCCTCCGCCCCCGCCAGCCTCCGCCGCTCGGGTCGAAAGGATCGGTGACGTGTGCCTCTACGCGGGGCTGCACCGCTTCCCCGCGGTCTGCGACATCTTGATCGCCGAGTACCGCGAGCCGCTCGATGGGCGGAGATGGGCGGAGGGAGTGATTGAGAATGGGGGGGGGAGATGTGCAGGGAAAGGATCGAACATTGGAAGTCATTGTGGTTTCAGGATTCGTTTTGAGATGTTACGAAAGCCAGCCTTCGTAGAAGGCGCTAGCGGAGTTGTGTCTGGCGAACGAAGTGAGTAGTTAGGGGGTCTGGGGGGGTGGCCCGAGAAAGGTATACGTCAACTCAGCACATGCTGGGGGAGGAGGGTGCTCCGAGGGAAGGTTTTTTGAGGTTGTGTTGGAGGTGATGTTTGAGGGGTGGTGATGCAAGAAATGCCAAATGCATCATTTGCATCATCTGAATGGAAAGGTGTAGGTGGCACCTTGCAAGGTAGAGAGACCTAGGGTAGCTATAGTGCAGCTACCAGGTATAGTACTTCAAGTTCCCTTTCCGTCAACCGCTTGAGAACCTCTACACACGCACAGCAATCCACAGCCTTGAAGTCTCATTCGTGCGTTGAACTTGTATAGGTGTGTAAGAGGTATAGCAACATACTATTTATACGGACCCAGGGTAGCTACAAGTAGCTACAGTTCTGGTATGGCGCGCATGAGGCTTCAAAGCTGTGGTTTTCAAGCTAAAGTCAAGGTGGCCTGAGACCAGGGTTTGCTGCCCTAAAACACTCTGTTCAGGCCACCTTGAAAATAAAG